ATTTTATTACATTTTATTAGATTAAAAACAAGCGGAAAAAATACATTACGGCATACTAGCAGCGACTCCTTGAAAATTGGAGCACAATTTAAGGTCATAAAAAGTGAGAAAGCAGGCATAAATCGGGATAAATGGCTCATTCAGGCATTTCATAGAAAAACCAGGAAATCACCAATTTAGACCTGATGGGCACATCGCTGTTTGATGGCGGAGGATCGCTGGTTAGGGATTTTGAGGTAAAAATTTTGCCTTCCCTTTCCCTCTCTCTTTCTCTCTCTCTCTCTCTCTCTCTCTCTCTCTCATCTCTCACTCTCTCTCTCTCTCGATCTCTCACTCTCTCTCTCTCTCTCTCTCTCTCGCCTCTCCATCCTCCCCCTCTCCCGTTCCCCCGTCCCCCCCCTTTCTCCCCCCCCTTCTCTTCTACTTGACGCTGGTATTAAGTTGTCTGAACTAATTTTTTCTCTTCAGGCTGCCGCTTTCTCCGATTCTACAGCAAATGCCAGTCGCGTGATGCTAATGAAAGCAACGCCATTGGAATGTCACGGAACGGAGATATGCTTCTCTTTAGTAAGCAAAACTTGTCGTTAAAAATAAGGGTTTTTCAGAACGAAATCGACTATGTGGACTCGATTTGGAAGGATCGGAAGGGGCAGCAGGTAAAAAAAGACGTACTCTGGCCCTTTCTAGCTCTCTATCACTACATTACGCTCCTCTTTCCAGGTGGATCCCTGCATCCTAGCCGGTGACTGTAGCAACTATGCACCCTACATTATTGGCGGCGGTATAATTTTGGGAATTGTCGTCGTCCTAACCCTCATCTATTTCATCAGACGACGGTAGGTCAACTTTTAGGCCCTTATCGTCATTTTTTATCTAGAAATCGTCTGAACATGTTCCGAATGCACTGGAAAATCGCTAAGGAAAATCTGAAGATCATTGAGAACAAGGCGTCGTCTGTCAAGGGGCGGAGTGGTACGTATTTTACAGTTACTCGGTAGTTTGTAGCGTGAAACTGGTCTTTTTTATCCACAATTTATTCAGCTACTTGGATTAAGGATCACGGGTTGGATTCATTTCTTCTACAAGTGGAAAATATAGATAATTGCTTAGAGAGAGCGATAGAGAGAGAGAGAGTGCGAGAGTGAGATACAGCAACATGCATAAAGCAAAGGTAGTACAAGAAAGTGCAGAAGGGATCAAAAATGCGAGTTAGAAGGCTTGGAATATCATGGTTAACCGATTCTGGCAGGAACTCAAGCGGAGCTGTTTCCGGACTTGACCTCGGGAGCCACACGCTTCTTCGCAGTCACCCTCCCGACCGGAAATGTCACAGGCTTCGGCTAAAAACACCCTTATTTGGGATGAAAATTTACGATTTACCTCCTCCGAAGCTGACTTTCCATCCCTGGGAGACGACGTGTCTTGCGGCCATTTCTGAAATAGCGGATTAGCATTGTCTACACTTGGATGTCTCTCTCACTCTCCTTCTCTCTCTCTCTTCTCTCTTTCGTTCTCTCTCGTTCTCACTCTCTCTCTCTCTTTCGCTTTCTCGCTCTCTTTCTCTCGCTTTTGAAGAAGTCTTGATTTGTACCTGCAACACTTCGCGAAGAGTGACGGACGAGTTAGCGGCTTGCAGTTGCTCCAGCACTGTGGTAGAAGACTCTTGCTAAATTTACATCACCTGATTTTCGGGTTCGAGATGAGGGATATGGAGGGGAGAGGGAGAGAGAGAGAGCGAGAGAAAGAGGGAGAGAGAGAGGGAGATAAGCGAGTGAGAGAGCGAGTTAAAAACAGTCAAAAGTTAAAGTAGTAAAAAATTAAAACTCACCCCAATCCCCTTGATCTCGACCCTCTGAGGAGGTACGGTAGCCGGAACGGCCAGTTGGTTCATCTGGGTAGTGCGGTTGTCCTGGATTTCAAAGGCGGTGGGCAGGACGATTTGGCGAGTGCTGCGCTGGGTGCGACGGGCGCGAGCCTAAAAATTGGGAACATTAGCAAGTCTGTTAAAGTCTGTTGAAGACGACGTAGACGCCAGACAAACTTACGTTTTTGACCCCGCGATCCGCTCCAAGCGCACAAGTGCACACGATCCCCTGGGGGCGTGTCTTGTAGAGGACATCGTGCTCGGGGCAGGGGTCACGCATCAGGCCTGGAATTGTGTAGCTGGCCATTCGGGGCGGGCTAAAATGGCCGTTCGTAGGAAGCATTTGGAATGTAGCTTTTGGATAGCAGGATTTTGAACAAAGGATGGTTTTGGGAGTTGGCCAAAAATAGAAAGGCAATATTTAGGCATCGAATTCGATATTCCAATAGAATGACATAGCTAGCGTGAGAAGATGCGAGAAAAAAAGAGGGAGCGAGAGGGGATAGGGAGAAACAAAGAGAGCGAAAAAAGAGAGAGAGGGAGAGAGAGACAGAGAGAGCGAGAGAAACAGCGAAAAGACAGAGAGAGCAAGATAGATAGAGAGACAGCGAGAGAGCACAACGAGTTAGAGTGAGAATAAGCGAGAAGGCGTCAGAGCAAGGGATAGATAAGGAGAATGAGGGAGACAAAGTGAGAGTGAGCGAGAACGAGACAGAGAGAGTAGGAGGGTGACAGAAAGACATGGAAAGAGAGAGCGACAGAATGAGAGAGAGAAGCTTTTGGTTTGGGTCGAAACTGAATGGCTTTTCGGAGTGAATGAGCCGACTGAGACTGTTACCCCCTATCCCCCTAAAACAGTCCCGCCCACCACCCCAAATTTTGTTGTGGCTGGCTGGGGCCCCGGTCCCCTTGATTCCAAGATCTTTGCATACGATAAGACGCCGGAATGAGCTTTCGGAAATCACGGGGTAACCCAGATGGCCCAGACGGTTTTTGTTGTAAAAATTTTGTCAGCTCCGGCCTGTACGATTTCCAGGAAATGGGGATGAACTCTTGGTCTTGACACTGTTAGGAACCCGAGGTTTTAAGGTACGATTTGCGAGAATAAAGCGTGATGCATTGACTCGCGGCTACATACATGAAAGATGTATAGTAAAAACAATTCGGAAAAATGCCTTTCGGGCCCTTTAAAGGGTCTGCCCGGGTTGCCTCAGATATTGATTAGATCTTGACATTCTCCAAAATACGCTGAAGCTGAACTTCGTAAAGCAAAATTCATGCTGTTGAACGTGAAAAGGAAGTTAGTAGATACTCTCAAGTTGAGTGGCGCGTAGCTGTCGAGACCGAATGGCTATAAGGGCTCGATTTCATGGCCTTAACGAACAAAATCGCTAAAATTTACATCAGCTTTTTCAGCTGGTGGAGGGGCAGATACGTTGAGCAGCAAAAGACGAGTGATATCCAGCTACGCTTTACTCGGAACGGCCAAAGCCGAATTTATCGCCCTAAAGCAGAACCGGAAAATCAGATGGACCAGGTAATATTTCCACTAGGTTTCTACTTTTTCCCTCCTTGTCACTATCCCTTAAAAACGCCCTTAAATTGCTATTTCCAACTTTTCAGACCAGAGCTAAAATTCCTCTTCGAGCTCAAGCAGCTCACCCACGATAATCTGACACGGTTTTTGGGAATTTGCTGCAACGAAATGGAGCATTTTTACGTCCTACACGCCATTGTCGAAAGAGCTTCACTTGAAGTATCAGATTTTCTAGATAACTAGACGTACTTTCAGGACTTTGTGCTCGACACCGACTTTAACCTGGACGCCACCTTCAAATCGGCGTTTTTGAGGGATATAATAAAGGTATATTTTTGTGGTTAAAGGACGTAATGTAAGCAACTTAAGCCTATAGACTTGCCTTCCAAATTCCTTAAAGGGCACTAGGAATCGATCAAACTGAACCAATGGCTCGAAGTCTGCCAGCTTTTTTGAACAATTTTAAAGCGTATAAACAGTCTCAGGATCTTTGCGCAATAAACCTGACGTTGAACGAAGTTTCTTAAGGGATTGTTGGGGTGTAGTTTTGTTTGGCGCGTACCTGTCTAGATCTAGTCGTCAAGGAGGTCGATATTCGGCTTGCTAGTACCTTTAGCCCCACATTTTCCAGGGTCTCACCTTCCTCCACAAATCAGCCATCGGCTACCACGGCCTTCTAACCGCCCAGAATTGCCTAATTGATGCAAATTGGGTCTTGAAATTGACCCAATTTGGGATCAGCACGATGATACATGAATTTGTCAATGCAGACACCTTGAAGCCGCTGGAATTGATTTCATTGCAAAGTAAGTCCAAATTTTCGGAATCTTAAAATTTAAGTGGCTTTACGTGTTTCAGCTTAATTCATGTTTTTAGCATATCACAATTTTGCTCCTGAGCTCTTGAAAAATCTGGAAATCGGGCGGAACTACCCAAAAGGCACCGTTCATGGCGATATCTACAGTATGGGCATGATTTTGTATCAAGTGCTCTTCCGGCAGCCACCGTATGATCGGTATATGATGTCGCAACGAGGTAGGAAATTCGCTTTTTTGGATTACTGTAGGTCTACTTGTTAAATTTTATTGCCACTGAAGATGGAGCTATCAAAATCTACAAACTCTTACTTGAAAAGTGACAAATAAGTCACAGATGCTAAAACCAGAAACAATATGGTCGTATTGCAGAAATTCTTGACCAAATCATGAACAACAATCTTCAACCGGAAGTCCATTCCGAGGGCGATGCTTTATTACAGGTATAGCGAGTAAATAACTACTGAAAGCTCCCAATTACACCACGCTTTACGTTAAAGCGAATACGCTACACTCCAGGTTACGATGAACTAAACAAAGCTAATATTGGCACTACAAAGACCAACCATTTTCAGATCATGCAAGAGTGTTGGCGCCCAACCCCGGAAAGCCGCCCCAAGCTCCGATTGATCAATCAGACGGTACAAAAGGCTTTTGTGTCAGCGTAAGCTATATTTTTTGCCTTCAATGGTCCTTTAGGAAAGGAAACCTGGTGGATCAAATGATAAAAATGAATGAGAAGTATGCGCAAAATTTGGAGAAGATAGTCGCCGAACGGAATGCTATGTTGCAGGTGGCACAGGAGCAGACGGATAGACTGTTGTGCGAGATGTTGCCTGCGTAAGTGGAAAAAGAGAGAGAGAGAGAGAGAGAGACAGAGAGAGAGAGAGAGAGAGCGAGAGAGACGAAGCTTCGACCTTGTAGACTTACTGCGTTTCTGACCTCATTACCTTTCAGAACCGTCGCCCAAGTCCTCAAGCAAGGCGGCCTAGTCCCACCACGAAGCTACGATTCCGTTACCGTACTCTTCTGCCAGATCATGGACTTCAACACGCTGTGCTCGAAGAGTAATGCAGAACAGGTAAGAACTCATACTTCCTAGACCAAATTTAACTTATGTTTCTTCTTCTGAAAATCAAAATTTAACATTTTTTTAGATCGTAACATTCCTCAACGATACCTTTACACTCTTCGATGAGATTGTAAAAGTTCATGATGCTTATAAGGTAATTCTTTCCATCTGAGATTGTACCATCTAGCGGTAGCTATAGTTTAAAGTACATCCGGTCAATTTTTAGGTCGAAACGACTGGTGAAACCTATATGGTGGCCTCTGGTGTACCGACAGAAAATGGAGGACGTCACGTCTTCGAAATTGCCGATATTTCGCTGGAATTGAGAGATGTAAGCCAGACACGGGAAGAGAGCGAGTCAGAGAGATAGATAGATAGAAGGGAGAGTGAGAGAGAGAGAGCGTGAGAGAGAATGAAAAAGATGGAGAGATAGAGATTTTTAGGCCTCCTATCGCTACCAAGTCCTCCACCTCCCCGACTTCAAAGTCCGAGTCCGCATCGGTTTCCACTGCGGTCCTATCGCCGCTGGAGTCATTGGATTACGGTCACCTCGCTATTGTCTTTTCGGGGATACGGTAAGTGTCATACCCCTTTAATTTCCGATTTTTAAGGTCAATTTCGCGTCCCGGATGCAGTCAAACTGTCCGCCGAATCAAATCCAGACCAGCGAGATCACAGCCCTGAAATTGTTTGACGTTCCGGAGTATCGGCTGGTGAAGAGGGGGATTGTGCATGTCAAGGGGAAAGGTAAGGTTATAAATTTCTCTCTCGATCTCGCTCTCTCCCACTCTCTCTCTCTCCCACTCTCTCTCTCTCTCCTCGCTCTCTCTCTAGCTCCTTCTTCAGAAGCATTACAACTGCAAATCGCATATTTTTAGGCGAGGTAAATTGCTACTGGCTGAACGAGCACGTCCACGACCATCATCCACCACCTACCGCCAGCGGACAGCCACCTAACAGCCAAATTTTGCCCCAAATGTTGCCGTCCATCGATTCGTTGAATCGACAGGGGAGGAGACCGTCGCTAGGAGCACCCCGTCCAGTACCGCCACCAAGGGTCAAATCGCCGATGGACAAGAAAAACGAATGAAAGGAGCTTGTACAAGGAACTTGTGCATTTACATTTTTTGAGAGGTAATAAAATTGGATTTGGATAAAAAGACAATAAATTAAAAAGGCCAAAATTCTCTTTCTTTTTCTCTTTCCTCTCTCCTTTCTCTATCTCTCTCTCGCTCTCAAAATACTTGTTTTCCTACTAACCCATTTTCCAGTGATTTTCCGCCCGGCTTGAGGCCATCTGGAACCAACCAAGGTCCCTCTCGGGGTCAGCTCTTTCTTCCGCTTCTTTTCTTCTTCCCCCTTCTCCTCTCGAGACCCAAGGGATGGATTCATTTCCGATTCGAAAAAGCACCTGCCAATGCAGGGGCCACGCCCCGGCGACGGCAAGTCGGCGCTACAAATTTCTCAGATTTCACTCGGCTTTTCTGGCATGTTTGGCGCGTTTGGGTTGTCTTTCGGAGTCCCCTTAAAATTTTATATTTGATGATTTTTCTTTTCCTGAAAAAGCTTTTGCCTGTTTTCATAGCGTACTCCATTGGCTCCTAGTTTTTGGCAGCTTTTCTCCGATTATTTGCATTGCGTAATATGGTTCGATATGTTCGTGAGATTTTTGGATGGCTCTTTTTTCGCTCTTGAGCCAGAAAATTGTGGCTCCGGGGCCCACTGAAAATCCATCACCATCAAAATTTCTCGAGGCCCAGAAAAACGGCCACTGCTGGATTATCAATCATCAAAGTGTCCAAGCCCAATTTGCCAGATTTGTTATGTTCAATGGGGTGGTAAATATTTGGGCTGAATAGAAGTATTTAAGGCAGGAAACTAAGCAGGTTTTCATTAATTTTCTACAGCCTACAACCTTTAATTTTCTTATTTAATTTTTATTTTTAAGATTTAAGTTGAAGTGATTTACAGTCGTTTGTCTTGATTTAATAACGCCGTTTATGGTTTTATGGTAGTTTTCTGCTTAAAAAAATCTTTATGCGGAAAGAGCAGCTTACACAAACTTTCTCCGGCATTGCAACCCGGTGCCATTTTTGCGCTGTAAAAACTCTGCACCTGTTGCACATGTCCGTCACCACCAGGCTGGAATTTGAGACATTTTCAGGGAGATTTGTGGTTGTGATAAGAGAGAGCGAGAGAGAGAGAGAGGGATAGAGATAAAAAGCTCTGTTTCCGGAACATGTTGCAGCCAGGGCCCAACCCCCTGGGACCCTAGAGGTGCTGGTGTGGTGGCGGGGCTGTAAAATGACCAGGACAGAGAGAGCGTGAGGGTGAGAGAGAGATCCCTGCAAGTTGTGGCCCATCCCTTCACACCCAATGCCCCCTACCTAGAGGTTTATTGGATTTGCTTCTCCATGTTTAGGAGGTGGTGTTCCAGGTTGTTCATGTTTCCCCACTTCCGGTTCTTGCAGAAAAAACCTATTAGCTTGTCAAGTGAGGTTTTTCTGAATTTTTCGTTGACTGCCCTTCACAATTTCTCAACTTTTTCCATGTCCAAGAGCTAGTTTATTACCTTTTGAAGCGTTGCAATTCATTTACCGTAGGCTCAGAAAATAGTTTCAGGTAATCTGACAGGGGGTTTCGTGGCCATTCTTTATTGAGATCCAATTCTCCCACTTGCAGAGCTCAAATTTCGAGTGGCCCACCCGGTTTTCGAGAGCCATTGAGCCTTTGAATCGGCTCTGGCTAGAATATTGTCAAAATTTCTTGGATCAAGTATTTTCTGAGTTAGTTTTTCTAAGTTTCCCGCTTTTCTAAAAATTCCAGGTTTCAAATAAGCCTAAATTTAAGGATTTGAGGCAAAAATAGCTCTAGAAAATTCGAAAATGCGTGGCTGACTTCGTTTTTCTAATTTTTTGGGAAAACAAAATTGTTCGTGGTCTCCCAATCCCGTTACGAGTTTTATTGCAAGCGCCCAATGGCCGAACCCTAAACGCCAACCGGGCACAGCTGACCCGATCCGATACCCCTTCCCCTTGTCGGTTTGGAAGAACGCTTGAAAAATTGGCGGGGAACACCCAACCAGTAGGGGGACTGCTGCTGGCTGCTGCTGGATAGAGGGTAATTATCCCCTCCAATCGCGCTTTCATTTGCTGGGTAAACAAAGCAGGGAAATTTTTTAGTTGGATTTTATTACGCTCGTTTTCAAAACCTGGTTTTCTACTTTCAAAAACTAGAACGGCAGATAAACAGAACCTTTAAACCAATGATGTATCTTAAAAATTCATCTTTAATAAGTTCAGTTCCTATTTCTAGCCGTTTTATTCCATGCTTTGTTTGCTGAAGTTCGATATGGCAAACAGCTGCTTGCTTGCCGCTGGTGTTGGCTACGCTTCTAAACAAACAATGAAGGTGGGGGAACTCACGCATTTTACAGAGTTCTGCCCCTTTCTTCTCATCCTTTACTAGTGGAAATTTTTCGTGCAATTTTCGCAAAATTCAGGCTTTTGTGCTAGTTCCTAAGGAAGCTTAAAAAACCAGGGACTCGCGAGGCGTAGGCCGGCATCGGCTTAGGCTTACCAGGGAGGTATCTGAACTCGGCATCGAACCTTGAGAAGTCAGATACACCATTCGACGCGCCTTGTCGGGGGGATTCCAAATATGTAATAAAATCAACCAGAGCCTATAACGATAAAAAGTTATGAGCATTTTAAGTTTTGCAGCGAAAACCGCCGCGGTGATATGAGCCCCTCCCAGCGCACCCTGTTCATCGGCCCCGTGGCCTAGTGGTGTGCGCATGGGTCTCCGGTCTGTACGACCAGGGTTCGGATCCACTCACGATTTTTATTTTTTGCTTTTTGACCAGTTCCTACTTTTTGCATTTCCAAACTCGGGACTAAGGTTTTCTTGACTGTGTGACCCCTAAACGGCACCAGCGATGATAAAATAACCTCGGGCATCAAGACCAGGATTGGACGCTCTCGATATCAAAGTTGGCAAAATCATCAAAACCGCCCTTTTAAGGCTCTGTACGAATTCGAAGAATGTAATTTGTCAAAAATAGAACAGTACATCTTGATCAGCAGAAAATTCTCTTTCGAATGAGCTATCTTACATAGGCTTTACGCGAAATTCTCGAAACGTCTTCGGCAAGCTGGCCATACCCTACCCTTACGCCGCATTCCAAAAATATTTTTTTAAGGAAATTTTTGGCAGCCGTATGTAACATAGCTCATTTGAAAGAGCTTTCTTTGTTGAATAAGGAGCACCACTGATCAGTTTAGGCTAAATTCCATTCCGCGGGATGATACAGGGTCTCAAAGATACTGTTTTTCACCATTTTGTCGACTTTGAATGCTCATAACTTTTTACGGTTATACGCTCTGGTTGATTTTATTACATATTTGGAATCCCCTCGACAAGGCGCGTCGAATGGTGTATCTGACTTCTCAAAGTTCGATGCCGAGTTCAGATACCTCCCTAGTTAGCACGAGGGTTAGGCTTACTCCGGGATTAAGCTTATTCTTACGATTAGGCCTAAACTCTTTTATTTCGCAAACACTCCGCTACTTCCCAGGCCAGTGTTTCCTGTTCTCGACACCTCCACAAAGCCCTTCTGTTTCCGATTTTATGCCCACTGCAGCGACACCTCGTGCCGTGGCCCAGATTCCTGGGAGTGCGGAACAAATCGAAAGTACCTCGTAAAAAGTGTTCTTCACACGTCTGGGGCTTCATCTACTAAAGGATAGTAGCTATTTCGAGATTCTCGTTCTTGTTTTTTGGTTTCTAGGTTTCTATTTAATTTTTTAAATTTTGCATTATCTTAACATAAACTTTATTATTTAATCTGAATTCTCCTCATGCTATTCAGACTTTGCGTCAATCTTATGAGGCTTTTCAAGAAGTATTCGTGCTCTTTTTAGGTTCTCATTTGTAAGTCCTCCTTTCTCAACTTTTTTCCGGATCCAACCACATACCACCCAGACAGCTTTGTAGTAACCAAATTTTCCGCACGAGTACCCACGCAACCCAAAGTTTACTCAATTTACCCCAAATTCTTTTGGCTCCACCCATCTTCGCGACGTCGTCCAAAAAAGGTGTCTTTGTTTGTGTCACCAAGTCGCCTCCAAAAAAATCCAATTCACACCCGTTTGCTGGCCCGAATTCGTATTTCGGGAACGAACCCAATTCCGCACGAACCACCACTGGCGGCTCGCGACGGCCAATTTTGTCAAAAAGCGGATAATTTGGCGGCTATAGAGCGAGAGATAAAGAGAGAGAGAGAGAGAGAGAGAGAGAGAGAGAGAGCAGAGGATAACGAATGTCCAGCCAATTTCTAATTCAATTTTCTGGGGTCGGGGCGGGCCCTGTTGGCCTCTCGGTCCTAAAAGCCAGGTCGTAATTCTTAATTTTACGGCTCGCGCCGTGTTGCTACAGTAGCATTGCGTAGCTTTACATCGGTCTTAGGCGGCTTTCTACGCTTTGTGGCCAT